AGAGACAAGCTCCCGCCTCCCGAAAGTTCAGCCCTACTGCCACCTGTACCACATTAGAGCCTACGTCACAGTTCAGCAAGGCAATGAGCCAGGTGTTGTGCTGTAGCAGAGCCCAGATCACTCAGTGAGGGCTGTGGACAGGCAGCCTTCAGCAATCAGCCCTTTCAGGGATGTTGTGGCTGCACAGACCTGCACTCTACACGACATCCATTTCGGGCAACCCCCATCTAATGACTGATGGGTGCAGAGCAGGAAGACCTATCTCACTAGACTGGGAATAGCTCTGAAGGGCTATGCTTGCTCTTGCTCCAAAGCAGAGGCTGTCATGGGGCCTTCCTTGTTGCTTGAGTCTCCCTGTGCCCACTCTGACGTCCCTTACCCCCCCCAACAGGTGCTGTCCCAGAGGTACCCCTTAGTAAGGATCCTGCGTGACAAACTCCTTACCTCCTCTTCAGGAAACCCAACGTATGGCATAAAGTCCCAAAGACATATTGATACAAATTTCTACCACCTACGGATGCTTGTGAATAACACCCTCACACAAGCCACAGTATAGGATAATTCTGACTGTAGCAATCTTCAACTCCAACATCCCACTTTTCTCAAAGTCCCAAAAGGGAGTTTGGATTTCACCTGGAAAGAATTCTCACTTTATCACCTCTCCAAGTGCCCTGCACGCCTTCCAACAGCCACAGACTCTGCCAGCCTCCAAAGCACCACTTCCACCATAATTCCCCAGAGGATAGAAAGCCAGACTATCACAACACTCAAGCCACCCACAGGGCAAGCTAAACAAAGGAGCACTCTAGGTGCGGACCCCACGAACAAAGCATGAACCATCAGGCCCTCTTTTTGCACTTTGTGTGTAGCCACCTCTGTCAGATGAGGCCCTCCCTTCTCTTTACCCAACCTCCACCACAAGCCCAAACTATGACAAGCCTAAACTACTCACCACTAGCCTAGGCTGCAGCGCCTGAGGCAGGTGGAGGGAAAGGTCACGAGGGCGGGCAGGTGAGGGTGGTGTTATACTGTGTTCTACATTCTGCTGCCATTTATCACCAGTGCTTTGACTCTGAAACTTGATTTTCAGCAGTGCCCAGGGAGGGTGGAAATGGTGGCCTCAAGAGTTGACTCTGTACCTCTCTTTGTGAGACCCTTCTTGTTCCTGATGGGTCTCACAAGGTCAAAGAACCTCAGCTGGGCCCTATCAACCCAGCCAAAGATATTTCCTTCCTTGGAGCTGGAGGGGAGCCCAGGTTGGTGGGCTCTGTCAGGTCCTGAAACCAGCAGAGAACTCCAGGGTGAGTTCCTGAGCAGGGTAGGAGATGTGGAGACACAAGCCTTCTTCAACACTCTTTTCTGTGGACCTGCACTTCTGTTCTGCTCCTTTGGTTTCTGCTTGTTGCATCTGCTCCCCCAGTGCCTGTTCTACCCCAGCATGTGGGTCTGGCTGTCTTGCTGCAATAAAGCCACAACCTGGGCAAGTTTCTTAACCTCTGAGTCTCAGCAGTTCATGCGTAAAATGAAGCATCCATCTGGCAAGGCTTTGAAAAGTTAAACAAGAATTACCCCATTAAGTGCCTACTAAGGTTCAAGTGGGGCCAAAATTCATGTTGCAGCTTAATTCTACTGTGACAGTATTAAGAGGTGAGGCCTCTGGGGAAGTGATGAGGTCATGAGGGCTCTGCCTCATGAATGGGTTAGTGCCTTAAGAAAGGGCAGGAGAGAACTAGCTTAGGCCCTTTTTGCCCTTCCATCTCTTCTGCCATGTGAAGACACAGCAGAGAGCTACCTTTACCAGACACCAGTCCTACTAGGTCCTTGATCCTGGACTTCCCAGCCTCCAAAACTGTGAGAAGTCAATCTCTATTGTTTATAAATTACCCAATGTGTAGCATTTTGTTACAGCAGCACAAATGGACTAAGAAGGTGTCCACCAGAGGGCCTGGCCCTAAATGCTCAGTATACAAAAGCTACTGTTAGCTACTATTGACCAGGACAATGACTGGGTAAAGAAGATGGGACAGTCTATATGTCAGCTTCTACCCTTTCCTCTTCAGCCGGCATCCAAGCCTTCCTTGATGCAACTCCTCAGACACTGAAGCACTCACTGTCTACTCCAAGTACAGCAACAACACACCGTTTTCCTGGCTTGTGCTACAGATGGAGCCCAGAATCTGAGAAGTCATTCAAGTCCTATCAGGCACACCCAAGTAAGGTGCTCCAGCTCTTGCGCTGCCCTCCGGGCCTTTTAGGGAAAATCCTCCAGTGCAACAGACTCTGAATACAATCTAGTGTTCTCCCAGGCTTAGTAAGAAAGGCCAAGATGTGAAACACTATTCTTACTCCACTTTCAACCAATCATCCATCAGGTGAAAATCTAAAACTAAGTCCAAACTCAGGGGCAGCGGGAGAACAAGAAAAAGAGTACAGGCCGGGTGCAGTGGCTCATGCCTGATACCCAGCGCTTTGGGAGGTCAAGGCGGGTGATCACTTGAGATCAGTGGTTTGAAACCAGCCTGGCCAACATGTTGAAACTCTGTCTCTACTAAAATTAGCTGGGCATAGTGGTATGTGCCTGTAATTCCAGTTATTCAGGAGGCTGAGGCATGAAAATTGCTTGAACCCAGGAGGTGAAGGTTGCAGTGGGCAGAGATCAAGCCACCACATTCCAGCCTGGGTGAAGGGCTGAGACTGTGTCTCAAAAAAAGAAAAAGAGTACATTGTTAAGTCCCCACCAACCCAGTGCCTTCACAGTTCCCATTCCTTCCCCAATTTAACAGTGGTTTGTGTCTGCAAAGGCCAAGCACAGTACTTTTATACACAGCAGCTCTTCTGCTGTTAGATTCTTTCAGGACGCGTAACGTCTATAACCTCTACTTTGTCAACCTAATACAACATGAAAACAGGGAGTTCCAATACACTAATCAACCCTTTGCTTTCTAGCTGCTATACATGTAAGAAATGTAAACACTTGTAGGGTGGGGTGGTTCACACCTATAATCCCAGCACTTTGGGAAGGAGGTGGGTGAATCACTTGATCCCAGGAGTTCAAGACTAGCCTGAGCAACATAATGAAACCCTGTTTTATTGTTTGTTTGTTTGTTTTGAGATGGAGTCTGTCACCCAGACTGGAGTCCAGTAGAGTGCAATCGGCTCACTGCAAACTCTGCCTCCCAGGTTCAAGCGATTCTCCTGCCTCAGCCTCCCCAGTAGCTGAGATTACAGGCACCCACCACCATGCCCAGCTAATTTTTTTACATTTTTAGTAGACACAAGGTTTCTCCATGTTGGGCAGGCTGGTCTCGAACTCCTGACCTTAGGTGATCCTCCAGCCTCGGCCTCCCAAAGTGAGCCACGATGCCTGGCCAAAACCCCATCTCTACAAAAAAAAAAAAAAAAAAAAAAATTAGCTGGGCATGGTGGTGCTCGCCTATAGCCCCAGCTACTCAGGAGGCTGAGGTGACAGGATCACCTAAGCCCAGGAGGTTTAGGCTGCAGTGAGCCATGACTGTGCCACACTGCACTCCAGCCTGGGTGATAGAATAAGATCCTATCTCAAAAAAATTTAAAAATAAATTAAATAAATGCTAACACTTGATATATAAAAAAAAAAGTAAGGCCGGGCACAGTGGCTCATGCCTGTAATCCCAGCACATTGGGAGGCCAAGGTGGGTAGATCACCTGAGGTCAGAAGTTCGAGACCAGCCTGGCTAACATGGTGAAACCCCATCTCTATTAAGAATACAAAAATCTGGCTAGGTGCAGTGGCTCACACTTGTAATCCCAGCATTTTGAGAGGCCGAAGTGGGTGGATCAACTGAGGTTAGGAGTTCGAGACCAGCCTGACCAACATGGAGAAACCCCATCTCTACTAAAAATACAAAATTGGCTGGGCGTGGTGGTGCATGCCTGTAATCCCAGCTACTCGGGAGGCTGAGGCAGGAGAATTGCTTGAACTCGGGAGGCAGAGGTTGCAGTAAGCCAAGTTCGCACCGTTGCACTCCATACTCCAGCCTTGGCAACAAGAGTGAAAATCCTTTAAAAAAAAAAAAAACAATGCAAAAATTAGCTGAGTGTGGTGTCGGATGCCTGTAATCTCAGCTACTCGGGAGGCTGAAGCAGGAGAATTGCTTGAACCCAAGAGATGGAGGTTGCAGAGAGCTGAAACTGTGCCACTGCATTCCAGCCTGGGCAACAGAGTGAGACTCTGTCTCAAATAAATAAATAAATAAAGTAAAAAGTTAACTTTATTATAATTAAGCAAATTATAATCTCCTTAAAGTCTGCAACGACTTCTTCATCTTTTGTATGCCTTATAACCCCCAAGAAACTGACTTTAAAGCACCTAAAAATTTTAAGTTTGCTAAATGAATAAATACAAATTTTACGCTTGAGCATACAAATTAATATACATCTGCTTACATGCATACCCTCACACATTTCACCAACGCTTCTCCGAGGATAAAGTTTCTCCTCACCAACAAGGATAACAGAAGTCACTAAAACTCTAGCACACTACCTGTTAATAATTCCGTGAAGAGAACTAATTTTCCACAAGACTCGCCATAGGCTTTGACCTGAATAAAACAGGAAACGATCCTAAGAGATTACACAATTTGACTCCTTCCCATTTACAGAACAGAAACTATGGTGTTGAGAACCGGAGAGAGGAAAATGATGACAGCTCTGAAACGAGTTAGGCCTTGCCGACTCTCAGCACCTTATTCTTTTGCTAGCATTTTGGCGGATGCAACAAAGAACATTCCGAGTGTGTAAGACACACTGCACTTTCTAATAGCATTTCCTTGCAAAAGCACGTTCCCATCATCTGCATGGTACAACGTCCTTCCACCATAAGAGATAAGCAATTACATTTTAAAATCTTTTTAAACAGGTATTTCCATTCAGCAATAGATTGCTTTATATCCCAAAAGACTCTCTAGTCAAACTTCATTTTGTTACAGGATACAAAACCAGTTCACGCGAATGATCATTACCTTTAACAAGCAATTTGTCTCTCACAGAAACCCTCCGAGTAGAGTCCGACGCTGAGGCTGCCGTCCGGGACCCTTTGAGACCATCGTCACGCTTCAGTTTGCTTGCTAACGTTAGCATTACTGCTGCCTTTACCCTGAAAGACAGCAATGACGGCAGGATTAAAGACCAGGTCTCCAGAGACTAATCAGACATTGAGGGAAATGTGCAGGTGCTTTTGCATCTTGATTTTTTCCCATATGGAAAAGTTTTGCATACATCAATAAGATTGGATTTCTTCATAATACATTTGAGTAAGCTCTATGCCATCCTAACTTTAAAAATTATGAATTAACATTTTTTAAAAAAAGAGAGTCATGGCTGGGCATGGTGGCTCACATCTATAATCCCACCACTTTGGGAGGCCAAGGTGGGAGAATCACTTGAGCCTAGGAGTTCAAGACCAGCCTGGGCAATATGGCCAAACCTGTCTCTACAAAAAATACAAAAAAAGAAAAAAGAAAGCAACAACAACAAAAAATTAGCCAGGAGTGGTGGCATGCGCCTGTAGTCCCAGCTACTCGGGAAGCTGAAGTGGAAGGATCCCTTGAGCCTGGAAGGTTGGGGATGCAGTGAGCCACGACTGTGCCACTGCATTATGACCTGGGTGACAGAGCAAGACTGTGTCTCACAAAATAAAATAAAAGAGAGTCATGCATTTCACACTCACTAGGTGCCAGGCCCTGGGATGTGGTTGTGACAAAGCTCCCGTGGAACATAAGGTCCAGGGTGGCCTCCACAACCTCTCAGCCAGTGTGCCCTCACCAATGGGTTCCACATGGGTCCATTACTGCCCACTGGTTAAGTCTTCCCTTCCCTGCTGCAGGGGACCCTACCCATGGTATGGTCCTAGGACCTGGCCCATCACCACCTGAAGCAGCACAGCCTCTGGTGGTGGTGGAGTACTTCTCTTTGCTCTCCTTCCTCCTCTAATAATAAGCATCTTCTCATTTATTCATGATGTGTTGCATTTACTTACATGTGTTTTATTTATATTTCTTTGCCATTTCAACATCAGACTAAATTAAAAGTAATGTCCCAAAGTAGATTATGTTCATTGGTGGCTTCCAACTTATCTGTGTTGCAGGTTCCCCTACTGCAAGCTCACTGGGAGGGACAACAAAGACCAAACACAGGTGACACCCCTTGCTGCTTGGGAGGGGGTTGAAGAAATGCCACAATTTGTTCAAGATTTTATTTTTTAAGGGCAGTTTTAGTATACAGTAAAATTAAGAGGAAGGCATAAAGAGATTTCCCATATGCCTCCTGCCCCAACACATGCACATTCTCCCCTATTACTAACACCCCCCACCAGAGGGTACATTTGTTACAATTAATGAACTCACCTTAACACATTATCACTCAAAGTCCACAGCTTACATTATGATCCCACTAATTATAACAGTATAACTATCCTCTAGACTCTGCCTTCTGTTTCTAACATAAACTGACATTAATCTTCCTCCTAACTCTTGCTTACTTTGCCAGTCAGAGAGGAGCTCTGGAACTTCTTTTGATTGAGGACAAAAATTTGTCACTAGTTCAATATTTTCACAATTTCCTTTGTTGCTTTCATATCACTTTATTTCAATACTCCTCTGATGGTCTTCAACAGAAAATGATCTAAAAAATTCCATGTGAAAAGCTTGACCTAAGCACAGAAATTTTAGGTTGAGGCTAAGATCCTAAAAGTCAGACCGGGCGCGGTGGTCACGCCTGTAATCCCAGCACTTTGGGAGGCCGAGGCGGGCGGATCACGAGGTCAAGACATCGAGACCATCCTGGTCAACATGGTGAAAACCCGTCTCTACTAAAAATACAAAAAATTAGCTGGGCATGGTGGCGCGTGCCTGTAATCCCAGCTACTCAGGAGGCTGAGGCAGGAGAATTGCCTGAACCCAGGAGGCGGAGGTTGCGGTGAGCACAGATCGCGCCATTGCACTCCAGCCTGGGTAACAAGAGTGAAACTCCGTCTCAAAAAAAAAAAAAAAAAAGATCCTAAAGGTCAAATAAGAATACTCCTCTCCTCACTGGCATTTTAAACCATTTTTAACCCAGGTCTCTTACAGTTTCTCACACCATCTTCTGCATATCCCCTAAAGGCTATCAGATTTTATTTTCTATTGTTTGTACCATGAAAACACAATATAGGCCTGCACGGTGGTTCACACCTGTAATCCCAGCATTTTGGGAGGCCCAGGTGGGTGGATGACCTGAGGTCAGGAGTTCTAGACTAGCCTGGCCAACATGGCGCAACACCATCTCTACTAAAAAATAAAAAAATAAAAATCCAGGCATGGTGGCGGGTGCCTGTAATCCCAGCTACCCGGGAGGCTGAGGCAGAAGAATCGCTTGAACCTGGGAGGTGGAAGTTGCAGTGAGCCAAGATTGTGCCATTGTACTCCAGCCTGGGCAACAAGAGCGAAACTGCATCTCAAAAAAATAAAAAAAATTTAAATGTTTTAAAAATGAAAATAATGCATAGAACTGGGACTGCAGACATGAGCCACCATGTCGGGATTTTTTTTTTGGGGGGACGGAGTTTCGCTCGTTACCCAGACTGCAGTGCAATGGCGCGATCTCAGCTCACCACAACCTCCGCCTCCTGGGTTCAAGCAATTCTCCTGCCTCAGCCTCCCAGTATCTGAGACTACAGGCACGGACCACCATGCCCAGCTAATTTTTGTATTTTTAGTAGAGACGGGGTTTCACCTCGTTGACCAGGATGGTCTCAATCTCTTGACCTCGTGATCCACCCGCCTCGGCCTCCCAAAGTGCTGTGGTCATCGTTTCAGACTGATCAATTACACAGTTTAAGTGTGGGAAGTTTAGTGTATTTCAATTATGCCTCAATAAAGTTGACAAAAATGTGAAAAGAAACCAATGTTAGTTTCTTCAGTGCTACGCCACCTCCTTAAGTGGACGAGCGCATCTTCACTGCTGCACCCAGGGCAAAGCAACTGTGTTCAGCTGATGAAGTTACTTCACAGGAAATAGTCACAAACACCTGTAGGGGTTTCAGCTGCCAGAGAGAGTAGCACGGTCTAAAGCTAAGCTCTCCTGCTTCAGCCCCTACCTGGAATGACCTTGTCAAAAATCCCTCGAAAGGATTCCTTGTTACGAAAGTGTGTCCCTTACCGGCCAAGTCTGCTGCCATGTGTGCAGACTCGAGCACATCAGTCCTGTCACATTGTCAGGGTCACCCGATTATGGACCAAGACGTGTATCCATCCATTACCTGGGGGCCAGGTGGACCCACCAGATGCCCTACACAAGGACTACCATGTTTTATCCTCTGGCTGACCTTGACAACAAAAATGAAGCAAAGAACTACAAAATAAAAGCACAACATGTTTGAACATGAGTTCAGCAGGCAGTACCCTAGGAAGTCAGAATGAAGAGCCCCATAGCCTGCACTGAGGGAGCCGCTCAGGGGAGCCTGGGGAGAGTGATGATCCCTCACATACTGAAAGGCTCACCACCAAGAAACTCTTCTGCACCACTACAGCCCACAGGCGGCACTTAATGCTTTTATGCCCCCTATCATGCCACGCTCAAGTCTTCTCTGTGGGCACAAGATGCCCCAATATTCAATTCCACTAGAAGAGTCCGACTGCTTGTTTACTATCTTCAAGTTTATGACTTGAAATATAAAAGAATGTAACACTGCTGTTTTGTTTTCCATAGAAGATAAAAAATGTACCTAACATTCTAAAAACATAAGGACATAATGGCCATCTGTTTTTCTATCATGTGTATCATTTTCACATGCCACTTTAAGGAAAAACCCAAGGCCTAATTTGGAAATGTTTCCATAGTTGTAAAATTAAATCTATACCAAAGGGTTCTAACAAAAAATAAGTAGTGTAACTGTCAAGAGGCTGGTTGAATACCTGCAGTTGCTTCAGAATTCTTTTCCTTATTCAATATGCTTCAACTCCTGAAGATGCGGTTTAAAGCAAAACTTCCCCTTTCCTGCAAAGTATGCTCTAAGGCAGCATTTCCGTAACACATCAGCTGTTCTGAACAGCATGCTCAGTCGCTAAATCCCACAAGTTGTAATTGGCCCAGTTAGGTTCCTCCCCTGGGTGGGACCTGCTTTCAGACTGCCCAGAGAAGAGGATCTGGTGTACAATTTACTAATACCATCAAGTGATATTTACTCAGCATCCCTGCGAGCAATGGCAAAACCAGGCCATGTCACTTGTGCAGGGACACCAGGGGCCAGTCAGCTCAAGGTGAGGGGACTACTTACTTACAATTCCTTCCTCATGGAGACGTCTCAATCCAAGCATAAACGCGGGTCACTAGGGGACACTCAACTTCCCCAGCCAAAGGAGCCCAGATCAGGGCACAACAAAGTCCATATCCCACTCTTCTACAGAATGCCAGTGCCCAGGAAGCTCCCGCTTGGCAGAGGAGTACTCTGGTTGCCTGACATCTTTGGAGCCCAGTCCTTTTTATTTTCAGTAGTAGATCTGCCCCTTCCTGCACGGTCTACTACCTGAATGGCAGGTGTGTCCAGGCGGGGTCCTCCAGCCCCACAGCACTAAGCTTGGCGTGATTCTGTCTCTCAGTCCCCCTCTGCCACGTCTATGCTTCCCCCTTGCCTTCACCCCACTCCTCGGCCAGGATTCCTCTGCACCAGGCAGGCCCGTTTCCTCTTTGTTCCTTAACAACACCCTGCTCATTTCCAGAAGCTTCTATTCAATCCGATACCCAGGTCTGGAACGTCCTCCTTCCCTTCACCAACGAATCCTACCCCTTCCTTAAGGGGAAGATTCCTCCCTAGATTCCAGCGTCTCCTCCTCTGAGAAGCCTTCTCTGGCTATTCCAACCCATCCTGTCACCACTTCCAGGGGGTTGGGGATGCGGAGTGGGGGCCCCAATTCTTTCCTGTGACAGATGAGGAAACTGAGCCCAGGGAGGAGAAGGCCACACCCAAGATGACACACCAGCAGAACCAGGTCTGGAACCAAGACTCTGCTGCACTAACTGCTCCAATGTCCTTCCCTCCTCGTCTCCTTGGCCGTGGTAAACACTTTCCAAACTAGTCGGGGCGCCCCCAGTTGTGGGTAAGCGTCCATACTGGCTCTTCCCGCCGCAGGTACGCGGACTGGGCCGGGTTCTCACTCCCATCACCTCCCCCGCTCCCCACGGCCTAGCGCGACTCCTACGGCGATCGGGAGTCCAGTCCCGCTTCCTGCGGCCACGACGGGCCGGTGACCTTGGCCGGGCGCCGGGCGCCCCGCTTCCTCCGGACAACGCAGGCAGCACATTCCGCGAGTGGGGCGTGAGCGCGGCCAGGTGGGGCCTGGCTCACACCAGGTACTCGGCGCGGGCCGTCCCCCGCCGCCGCCGCCACGGTCACTCACTGCCGGGCCGGGCCAGCGCCCCGGCCGCCGACGCCGACCCCGACCCCCGGCTCACTGCCCGCGGCCCGTGCCTCCTTCCCATTCCCGCCGCTCGGCCTCGCGTCCAGGTGCCCGCGCCCGCCTGGCGCCCGGCGTGAGGAAGCCCGCGGGCCTGAGGCAGCCCCGGCGCCGCCCGCACCCTCCGCCCGGCCCGCAGGCCAGCCCGTGCACCGGCCGCCGCACCTCGCTCCGCCGCAGAGCAGCGCGGTCGCTCCTCACCTGGGCTCCCCGAGACAGGTGATGCGGGCCCGGCGCCCAACACCATGCCCGGCCGGGGCGGCTGCTGCGTGATGCGGCCCCTCACAGCCGCACCGGCTCCCGGCGGCGGGACCGGAAGTGGCGGGGCGGGGACTCGGCCGCTTTCGCCCGCGGCTGCAGCGACAGCAGCGGGCGCTTTAAAAAAAAAAAAAAAATTCAAAGTCGCAAAAAACTTTATTTGGAACCAGACACGCGAACAATGGCGGGGGCCGGTCGGGACTCGGCTGGGCGACAGGACGCTCAGACTTCGCTCATTGGCAGAGGGCGCGGCCGGGGGGGCGGGCACGGATTTTGAGGCTGTCGCTGATTGGCGAGTAGCAGTTAGGGGCGGGGTTTCCGAGTTGGCTCCGAAGCCCGAGTGCCCGAGCGCCCGAGCGCTGGGGGTTTTGCACTTGGCGTTCCAAGGCGGGTTCACTCGTGGTTTGCAGGGTCTAGGGGCTCCGAGGAGCCCGCGCTCTCCTTCCCTGAAGGAGCGGCCTCCGTGGCTGGAGCTCCCGCTGGCCAGCACCGTACCTGGAGTGTAAAGGACTGGACCGGCCCCCGCAGCCTGCAGTGCGGGCGGTGAGGGAGACCCGGCGGTCAGAAGCACAAACCGCCACTAACGCAAACCCGTGTGCTGCGCCCGCAGGCCCCACTATCTTGTCATGTCTCGTTTATTCCGTCTTTTCTCTCTCAAATGTGTTTAAAGTTAAAAATCCATTTCAACTTGTCCTCTTTCCCGCTCGTGGAGCCCAGATTCATCTCTTGCCCGTCAGCGTCGTGTGTGGTAGACAAGGGTCCGCCCTGGGGGTCAGGCAGGCCCCTGGGGGAGTGGGCCATCGGAAAGATGAGGTTCAGCAGGGAGACGGTCAGGAGACAAGGAGTTAGATTTTCATTTCCAAAAACCCCACGGAGAGGTTCCTAACAGCGGATTGGCAATACCAGGTTCTCTTCCTAAACCTGGCTGACGGCCTGGTGGCTCTTGCCTATAATCCCAGCACTTCGGGAGGCCAAAATGGGAGGATCCCTTGAGCCCAAGGGTTCAAGACCAGCCTGGGCAACGTGGCAAGACCCCATCGCTACAAAAAAAAAAAAAATACAAAAATTAGCCAGGCATGGTGGCAAGCACCTGTACTCCTTGCTACTCAGAAGACTGAGGGGGGAGAATCACCTGAGCGCGGGAGGTCAAGGCTGCAGTGAGCCATGATCGCACCACTGCACTCCCCCTTGGGTGGCAGGGCCAGAGCCTGTCCTCATAATAAAGGCTTTGGCTCCAAGTGAGTCGATAGGAGGGGAGTCAGGAAAACTGGTCAAGAACACAACTCAGCTGGGTGCAGTGGCTCACGCCTGTAATCCCAGCACTTTGGTTGGGAGGCTGAGGCAGACGGATCACCTGAGGTCAGGAGTAGGAGACCAATCTGGCCAACGTGTTGAAACCCCGTCTCTACTTAACAAAAAGCTGGGCGTGATAACATTCGCCTATAATCCCAGCTAGTTGGGAGGCTGCAGAAGGAGAATCGCTTGAACCTGGGAGGTGGACAGGTTGCAGTGAACTGAGATCCCGACATTGCACTCCAGCCTGGGTGAGAGAGCAAGACTCCATCAAGAAAGAAAGAGAGAGAGAGAGAGAGGAAAGAAAGAAAGAGAGGAAAGAGGGAGGGAGGGAAAGAAGGAAAAAGAAAGAAAAGAAAAGAAAGAGGAAGGGAAAGAAGGAAAGAAAGAAAACACAACTTGTGCTATTTCTTGTGTTTGGGACCATGTCTTTCCCTTTTCTGGCTGGCTAACCCTCAAGTTTTCCTAAGCTTAGACACCACCTTCTCAGAGGCCTCAAAGTCGGGGGAGGGGGGTAGTGCAGATGCCCTCTGCGTCTTCCTTGGAACCCTGCGCTTCCCTCTTCCTTATTGTCATGGTCTGTTTCCCTGACTCAGCTCAGCTCCTCAGCCCTCTTCTTCCTTCTTCCTCCAGCCTCGCCTCCTACCACCCCCTTTCCCATTCTGGGACATCCAGGTGATCAAAAGACATCTGCTGGACAGAGACTGCATGAGCTGGCAGCATGAGTCCTGGTGAGATGAGGACTGAAGAATGCAGTCTGTGAAGGTGCTGCTGGAATGGCATGAGCACGTGGCTTACTCATTAGTGCCACTGTCCGCAGAATGAATTGCACCACACACTGGCCCACATAGGCCCAGATTCTGCCGCCATGGATGAATGAAGACATTTCTAGCTCCATTTCATGTGGCTCCCTAGTTCTTTCAATAAGACTTATTTAGGACTTCCTAGTTTATTAACTCAATTCTCTCAATAACCCCATGAAACAAGTAGTATCCCCATTTTATAGATGAGGAAACTGACAAAGAAGTTAAGTAGTCTGCTGACAAAAAAGGTCAAACTGTAAAATATTTGAAGATATTTTATTCAGGGCTAAATATAAGTGACAAAGGCCTGAGTCACAGTTTCAAGAGGTCCTGAGAACATGTGACCAAGGTGGTTGGATTACAGCTCGATTTTTATACATTTTAGGGGTGTCAGAGGCATTTGAATGAGAGCAACTCCATCTTGAATAAGGGCTGGGTAAAATAAGGTAGGACCTACTGGGCTGCATTCCCAGGAGGGTAGGCATTCTAAGTCACAGGATGAGATAGGAGGTTGGCACATGTACAGGTCACAAAGACCTTACTGATAAAAGGATATCATAAAGAAGCTGGCCAAAACCCACCAAAACCAAGACAGCGACGAAAGCGTTCTCTGCTTGTCTTCACTGCTCATTATGCACTAATTATAATGCATCTATATGCTGAAAGACACTCTCACCCATGCCATGACAGTTTACAAATGTCATGGCAAAGTCAGGAAGTTACCCTATATGATCTAAAAACGGAAGGAACCCTCAGTTCCAGGCATTCCCCAGCCCTTTCCTGGAAAACTTATTAATAATCAACCCCTTGTTTAGCATATAATCAGGAAATCACCATAAAAGTGGCTAGCCAGCTCTGCCTACATAGTAGCCATTCTTGTATTTCCTTTTCCTATTTTTTTGACATGAAGTTTCCTTCTTGTTGCCCAGGCTGGAGTGCAATGGCGCAACCTTGACTCACCGAAACCTCCACCTCCGGTTCAAGCAATTCTTCTGCCTCAGCCTCCCGAGTAGCTGGGATTACAGGCATATGCCACCATGTCAGCCTAATTTTTTTTTTTTTTTTTTTTTGAGATGGAGTTTTGCTCTTGTTACCCAGGCTGGAGTGCAATGGCGCGATCTCAGCTCACCGCAACCTCCGCCTCCTGAGTTCAGGCAATTCTACCTCAGCCTCCCAAGTAGCTGGGACTACAGGCGCACGCCACCATGCCCAGCTAATTTTTGTATTTTTAGTAGAGACGGGGTTTCACCTTGTTGACCAGGATGGTCTTGATCTCTTGACCTCGTGATCCACCCGCCTCGGCCTCCCAAAGTGCTGGGATTATAGGCGTGAGCCACTGTGCCCGGCCCTTTTTTTGTATTTTTAGTAGAGATGGGGTTTCTCAATGTTGGTAAGGCTGGTCTGGAACTCCTGACCTCAGGTGATCAGCCCACCTCGACCTCTCAAAGTGCTGGGATTACAGGCATAAGCCACCTCGCCTGGCCCATTCTTTTATTTCTTTTCTTTTCTTTTTTTTCTTTTAAAAACGGGGTTTCAGGCTGGGCGTGGTGGCTCACGCCTATAATCCCAGCACTTTGGGAGGCCGAGGCGGGTGGATCACGAGGTCAAGAGATCAAGACCATCCTGGTCAACATGGTGAAACCCCATCTCTACTAAAAATACAAAACTTAGCTGGGCATGGTGGCACAGCCTGTAGTCCCAGCTACGCAGGAGGCTGAGGTAGGAGAATTGCTTGAACCCAGGAGGCGGAGGTTGCGGTGAGCTGAGATCGCGCCATTGCACTCCAGCCTGAGTAATAAGAGTGAAATTCCGTCTCAAAAAAAAAAAAAAAAAAAACACAGGGTTTCACCATGTTGGTCAGGCTGGTCATGAACTCCCGACCTCAGGTGATCCGCCCGCCTTGGCCTCCAAAGTACTTGGATTACAGGCTTGAGCCACCACGCCTGGCCCCATTCTTTTATTTCTTTACTACTCTAATATCCTTGCTTTCACTTTACCCTGTGGATTCGCCTATAATTCTTTCTTGTTTGAGATCCAATAACCCTCTCTTGCGGTCTGGATCAGGACCCCTTTCTGGTAACAGGGGGACAGAAGTTGCAGGCAGACACCAAGTGATACATGCAAGGTGTACATTAGTTCAGTCTGGAAGGACAGACAACTGGAAGCAGAGAAAGGTGGTTAGGGGCTTCCAGATCACAGGCGGATTCAAAGATTTTCTGATTGGCAATTGGTTAAAATAGTTATTGTCTAATGAACTGGAATCAATAGAAAAGAATAATAAGATAAGGTACCGTGTAGACCAAGGTTCTTATGTAGGTGAAGCCTCCAGATAGCAGGCTTCAGAGAAATAGATGGTAAGAATATTTCTTACCAGACTAAAAAGATGTCAGACTCTTGGTTGATCTCTGCTGGATTGGGAAAAGACCTGGAAAGGGAAGGGAATTCTCTGCAGAACGCAGATTTTCCCTACAACAGGCAACTGTGCAGAGCCATTTCAAAATATGTCAAAGAATGTGTTTTGGGATCCAAGTCACAGCACCAAAAAAAAAAAAAAAAAAAAGGATTTCGGGGTAAAACACTTCTCTTTCTTTCAGGGCCCACTGTCCTGTGATGCTGTACGAGAGTCGGTTGGAATTTGGTATCTTATTGCTACAAAGAGCCTGTTTTGTCAGTCTTATGATCTCTGTTTTAAGGTTAACGCTGTTGAGTTGTGCTTGAATTCCAAAGGGAGGAGGGTATAAGGAGGCAGTCTGACCCCTTCTTCCCATCATGGCCGGAACTAATTTTTCTTCTTCTTTTTTTTTTTGAGACGGAGTTTCGCTGTTGTTACCCAGACTGGAGTGCAATGGCACGATCTCGGCTCACCGCAACCTCCACCTTCTGGGTTCAAGCAATTCTCTTGCCTCAGCCTCCCGAGTAGCTGGGACTACAAACACGCACCACCATGCCCAGCTAATTTTTGTATTTTTAGTAGAGATGGGGTTTTACCTTGTTGACCAGGATGGTCTTGATCTCTTGAC